ACTGGATGAAGCCTCCAGGTGCTCAGCATCACCGAGGAGAGGTGGCCTCATGCAGGTCTGCAGACCAAAGCCACCGTACCGCGAATGCAGAGTGGCAGCTGAGCACTGAGTGCTGCGATCCCAGCTGGGCACCAGGATGGCACTCAGCACTCATTAACTGCATTAACCCACGCACGTATTTTTCCTTCTTTAATCCCAGCCTCTTAGTTTTCGGTGCTCTCTGTATAATCTCCGTCTTTCATCCATTCCTCTTGTTATCTTGGATTTAGTCAAAACATGCGTGGGGTTTGACACACGGCTTCTATTTTTAATCACTGCTTCGCACAGATAATCAATTTCTGCTCAGTGCTGACTGTCACTGGAAAACGGGATGTCACGCCAGAGAAAACGCCCGCGCTTCAGTGGCTCAAAGCCCTGCATTTTGCTTTTCAGTGCTGAGATTTGGCCTTGTCCCCGGGGAGGGGATAATCAAAGCATTGTGTGCGCGTCACCGCCTCAAGAAGATTGGTCACACCAATGGAAAGTAGACACGCTGTGCAAGTGCAGATATTTCCCTTTCATCTACAGGATTAGAACTCTGAGGACAGCTGAAGCTGGCACAAGCGGCACCCCAGAATTAAAGCTGCCTTTATTGCTCCTTCTCTTTTTCAGAGCTTCTCTTAATTATATGATAATAACCCACTGCAGAGTTGATGGGTGTGGAGGAGCACCTCCATGGCGGGAGGGGTGACCACACACAGGTGATGGAGGGTGGGCTGGGGATGGCAGCACACGCATGGCAGCATTGGTCACTGCAACGTCTGCAAGCAGCCGCAAGGGAAAGCTGTATTTTGAGTAACACAAACAAAGTAAACACAAAATAGCACTCCCACATGTTCCTTAAATGCTCTCTTTTTATTTGGTTTCTGTCTCGTGGTCTCCAGCTTTGCAGAACAATGACAGGCTTGCGGGAAAACTGAGAGGCACTGCAGCAAGGCCTGGCATGTAATTATTGCTGCTTTAATGGTGGGGGCACGGGGTGACACAGTGCTGGACTGCTCATGGCAAGGGTACAGACATGGGGCAGAGGAGCTCTGCACAGCCCATCAGTGACTACAGCTTGTTTGAGAGAAGCATGGCTCACCTCACTTCTCTTTCCTTTCTTCCTTTTTTCTACTTTTTGTTGTTTGCCATCTTACTCATCTCTCTCATCTCAGCCCTGGGCGTCTCATTTTGCCAGGGGTTTTCTCAACGAGGCATTGATCATTTCTTCTGGCGTTAGGGCTGCACACATCAGTACAGAATGACCTCTGGGGGCCAGCAGCTCTGTTGTTACTATGAAGTCATCATTCCCAGATGCAAACACAGCGCCTTCAGCCTCTGATCTCTGCTTGCACAGCTGGGGCACACGGGGGGAACGTCCTGTAGGCTAGCAGGGACCCAGGACCCAGGGCACAGGGTCACAGCTTTTCCTTTTGTGATGGTGTTTACCTTCTTCGTGTCTCCACAGGGGGGTGAAGGAAAAAAAAAAGAGATAAATCCTTCATTTTTCAGAAGAAGATAATGCAGAGACCAGTGCTGCAGGTGAGCCTGGGAGAACAGGCTTTGGTTCTCTGTGGATGCACAGGTCCTTGGGCCAGGGATGTCCCCAATGGCTTTGCTAGATCACCAGCACTGCTGCAGCCAGTGGCAATGCCATTGCATGTTCAAGAAATGCTTTGCTTTTAGCTTCTTTTTCCTATTTTATATGTTTTTAATACAGCCACGCAAACACAATTGTGCACGCGATGCTCTCACACAGCTGCAATTAAAAGTAGGGAATTTAGAGCACATCCGTTTCAAAGACCCCGTGTCGGCTGCTGTGAGGATGGCAGTTCATTAAAGCCAATAAAGCACGGTGGCATGAATGGCTCAATGCAAATCCTACAGCATATTCTGTTGCCATGGAAACAGTCTGCCCCAAAGCCAAGATGAGGGCAACCACAGCATCAGCAACAACTGCAGAGATCTCAGTGGGAGCCCAGCTGGGCAGTGGGGGTCTCGGAGCCCACCTGGCACTGCAGGGCCCGTTTTCACTATTTTCTGCCATAAACCCACAGAAATTAAAACTCAAAGCTGCTTTCTGAGATGTGGAATTGGGTGCGAGCTGAGCACAAACCAAGGTGGTCCCCAGAGCAAACCGTTTGGCAGCAGCAGGCCATGAGCTGCCATGTCCTCATAGGGTGTGTGAGCAAAAATGGCCCCATGGGCACAGCACAGCACAGGGGCTGAGTCTGGTTAGGGGCTCATTTGGCTATAGGGTGTCTCTGGGAGCTAAAACCTGACAGGCCCTTCCCCTCTGTGCCCAAGCAGTGCCCTGCATAGGATAAGAGCTGGGACGGCTGCACTGCGTTGCATTCAGACTGGGCCAGACCTGAGCACTGTGACCCATTTGGTTTCCTTGGCTGGAGGTGAGAGGTCCCAGCAGCAGAACAGAGCTGACAATGCCATTAAACACAGCTGAGGATGCACAAAGCCCTCGGGACAGGCCACTGCCTGTGGGCCTTCCTGGCGTAGCCCCAAATCTGACAGCATGGCCAGGAGCGACATATGTGGGCTGATCAAAGTACCGAAACGACAGCAAGCTCTGTTAGAGCCTGAAACTGTCTAGGAAAGACTGAAAAGATGCACTGCAAACGCAGCTCCTCGGGCTGTGACCTCTGAATCCAAAGATTTGATTTTCAACCCGGTTTTGCTTATTGCACATCACGACAAGCAGCTGCTGCCACTTCCTTTCCCTCCCACATCCCCACGGACCCCCCCGGCTGCAGCATCCCTCCCATGTGTGGATCAGCCTCTGGCAGATGTTGCATGAGCAGAAACACCTCTGGGATCTGAGAGCTGTGGTTACACATGCCAGGCAGCCATTAGGAGGGCGTCAGATGGAGAGATTGTTCCCCTTCCTGCTGCAGTACAATGGCATCTTTGTAACTCGCTCCTCTGAGTTGCCCACTTTTAATTTTAGTTTCCTATTGCAGAATCATTTCACTCCAAGAGCTCTCATGAGCTGGAAAAGAGCAAGAAAAAAAGGCTGAGGATGAGACAGAAAAGGCTCAAGAATGAGACAGAGAAAAGAATTAGCCACGGGAGATCTTGCTTTCTCCGTCCTCACTTTAACTTCTCAATTTACTTTATCAGATCGCCTTCCAAAGGGAAATAGTTTTTGAGAGAAGAGAGATGAAAGGGATTATTACTTACACAGAGGCTCCTTTAAAGAGATAAAATATTTGGCAATTAAGGCACGAGGAGCTGCAGAGTCGAGGAGAGCAGGGATGTGAGGGCACAGCAATGAATCTCCCATCCCCCCCCACCACAGCAGGGTAATGCCACTGCCCAGCACTGCCCTCACAGAGCTGGGGGCTCTGGGTGCCAGGAGCAGAGGGACCCTCATAGGGATTGGTTGTGATTTCTGTCTGAGCAATGCTGAATTCATTTGTTGATGCTCCTTGAAGCACTCTGGAGACGTGGAGCACCAGGTAAGTGCTGCGTTTTGTAATTCAGGCACCGCAGTCCCTTTTTTTCATTTTGTCTCTCATCCCCAAGGTGTTTGGACCAACCATCTCAGCACACATGCACTGGGTGAGCCCAGCTGAGCGCTGCAGTGTGGAGTTTGTGGCTGCAGCACAAACCGGCAGCCATGGCCACCAAAGCATCCTCCCAGATGGGCATTGCAGGACCATTGTTCCAGGTTATAAGGTGATTTCTGGCGTTCCATCGGCTCTCATTCATGCTAAAAAAATCATTAGGATGGAACCACAGAATCAATAAGGTTGGAGAAGACCTCCAGGATCACCCAGTCAGCCCATCAGCACCACCCCACCGTGCCCCGTCATTATTTACAACTGTACAACTTCTGAAAATTGCATTTGTTACTGCGGTTACTGATTGTGGAAAGGGCTATAAATTAACTTGACAGTGCACATAGCTCTTCACCCTTGGATAATTTCTCCGCTTGACTTACACTGTGTTGAACTTTCTGCACCATCCAATTACACTCATTCAAATTGTGTATTTAAGCATTTTTCTGAAGGAAGCAGAAGATATTTAATTAGCATACAGAAGAGCTCCGGGTAGCTATCGGGTCAGCCCTGAGTGGCAGCTCAGCATCCCAGAGGCTGCAGGGGAACCTCAGGGCCAGACCCACCCCCAGCTGCAGCCCCACAGCAGGGGCGACCCTCAATGGCCAGAGCAGCTCAGGCTTCACACAAGCATTTGTCTCCAGAGCTGATTTCTGTTGTGGACAAAGCACGCTCCGTGACACACAGATATCCTAAATTCAACTTCTGCATCCTCAGGCATCTGGAGGAACTGTGACAAGAATGAACTGTGGTGTGGTTGTGGAGCATCGGTGCCATCTCCAGCCCAACCCTCCATCCCCCAAGGGAGAGGTGCATGTGGCAGTGCGTGAGAATCTGCTATTTTTCTGCTTCCAGCTGGGGCTGCTGAGGCCACATCCTCATGCTCAGGGCCCTTCTGGGACAGTTCCCCCCCAGTGCATGTTGGCTGTGGCCCCCAGCTGCCCCCACACCCTGGGTCTCAGGCACTGCCATGTGGAATGGGAATTCAGGGAATGGAGCCTTGCAGAAAGGGTCTGCCACCACTGTGGCTGCAAAGGGAAGACAACCGTGCTTTGTTAGACGTGAACTGAGAAAATGAGGAACATCTGGTGCCTGCTGGCTGGAGGCCTCGCCAGCATGTGAGCAAAACCTCCAGTTGTCCTTTTGGATTAAGGGATTGTGCAGTTTGCTTGCAGTTTTGTTCATGCCATGCCCCAGCCAGGCCCAGAGGTGCTCTCACTGCAGCAGAAGCTGCTGAACTCCAGCCCAACCTCTGCCCAGAGCCCTGCCCAGCCCGCAGTCCAGACTGTGCACTCACAGCTTCAGGAAACCTCTAGGAAAGACATTTTGAGGCAGCTCATGGCAGCATAGAGCTCGCTGCTGCAGCCCCCAGCGCCCCACACTCCCCCAAGCAGGCGGCTGCAGTGTGCTGCATAGCATTTATTCATTGCATCACATAGTAGAAAACCTCATTTCATCAGTCCAGGCTTTTGCAGGGGCCCTTCAGACCTCCAGCTTCTTTTTCATCTCCATGCGGTAGATGATCTGATAGCCGTCGTCCCAGGCGTAGATCTGCCTCTCGCGGGGGCTGTACTTCATGCTGGAATGGGAGCCGTAGCGTTTGGGGAAGTACACGAGGGAAGCCTCCTCGGGGGGCAGCGTCCCACTGACGTCGAAGACGCACTGCACGCGGGAGCGGCTGGGCAGCCGGGTGTTGTAGGCCACGTGCAGAGCCCCGCACACCACGAAGGCGCCCTCGGCGTTCTCCCGCGGGCACGGCGTGTCCCACATCTGCTCGATGTCCAGCGAGTCGGGGTCCAGCTTGGCCAGGCAGATGTTCTTCTCGTTCTCCTTGGTGGCGTAGATGGCCCAGAGCCCCTCTTCGTCCGCCGCCAGCTCGATGTAGGTGAAGGGGGAGAGCCCGAAGACGGGGATCTGCTCCTCGGCTGGGAACACCGAGCTGTCCACCACCGTCTTGTTGGCCAGGTCGAACTTGATCACCTGGAATGGGCCCTGCTGGCGGATGTAGTAGAGGTACCCGCCGTAGACCAGGTGCCCGGTGCCCACCCAGGGGTAGGGCAGCTTGATGCGGGCTGCACGGCGCGTGGCCGAGAAGAGCGTGAACTCCCGCATGCGGGGGAAGACGTACACCGTGTCGTTGGCGGTGCCATCGAAGACGTAAATCTTCTCGGAGTTCCCTGCAGCATCCTTGGTCCAGAGCCCCACGGCGCTGCCGAAGCGCTTCAGGATCTTCATGGCTCTGACGCTTGCAATGGTGTCACTGCAATCTGCGAGGGGGTTGGAGGGGGGCAGCGGTCAGAGCCCGAGGGCCGCTCCCACCCCCCGTGTCACCGCAGTGCTGCAGCACCCCCACCCCAGGGGCTCTCCAGGCAGTTCCCTGGAGAAGCACCGCATTGCCCTCGGTCAGCATCGCTGCCCAGCGGCACACAGAACCCCCTATGGGGGGATCCCCCTCCCCGCCCCCCAGCCGCGGCTCTGCCCGGGATGCAGCTGCGGAGCCCAAGCTCCGGGCAGCCCGCTAACCCCGCGCCACCACCCGGGGCAGCCCGGCGGCCCTCACCCGTCACTTTGCTGTACTTCTCGTTCTTCCTCTGCTTGGCCGTGGCCGCCTGCTTCTCCGTCAGCACTTCGTCCACCTCCACGCAGGGCGGTGCGGGGTTCTGCGTTTCCAGGTAATCCACCTCTCGCTCCAGGCGGTCCACCCGCGCCGCCGCGCTCTCCGCCTCGGTCCGCAGAGCCTCGCGCTCCTTCTCCGCCGTCTCCAGCATGCCCAGCACCTGGTTCTTGAAGTCCCGCAGCTCCGTGGAGTAACGGCTGCTCTGATCGTGCCACTGCGCGATCCTCTCCTGTTGCGGCCGAGGGGTGACGGTGGGTTCCGTGTCGCGCGCCCCGCGCCCGCATCCCCGGCCCGCACCGCCCCGCTCCCCCCGCCCGTACCTCCAGCATCACCAGCCGCCGCTCCACGTACTCCATGAACTGCTGCTGCTGTGCGCGCGGTGCCGCGGCGAGGAGCGGCAGGAGGAGCAGGCAGCGCCAGGGCCCCATGGCCGCCGCAGAGTGCGGCAGCGCGGAAGCGGCTCAGCGCTCAGGAATGCTGGCGGCCCTGATTGAATCCAGATGGGGCGAGAGGCGGCCCCGGGCGCCTCAGCTCCGCTTTAACTCCGGCGGCTCCGCAGCCCCGACCCTCCGAGAGACCGAGAGACCCCAGGGATCGAGTACAGAAAATTAACCCTTTTTATTGATGCATTGCAATTGTTCTACATCTTTACCATATTATGTAGAAAATACTTAAAATACAAGCTACTTTGTAAAACCAAAGACAAACATTGAATCCAAAGATAAACTATGTTTTCACAATGGACCCTTCTCCCATATAGTTAGTATTAAATTTTTAAATAGCTATTTCTTTTGTTAAAATGATTTTTACATACCCCCTAAGTACATCAGCAATACAAACATAGATCAGTAATGTCAGGAACTACCTGCACCTACCGGCTTGTAAAAAGGAAGAGCACAACCAGAAAAGAAAGGTAAATTGTACACAGTAACTAGCATATCAAATACATTTAGTAAAGTAGGAATTCCATTGCAATATCAAGGATCCAAGCAGAAATACTAACGTTACATATAATGTACTGCTACATGTAGTGAGATAGATATATTCCAAGCTGAATCTGAAATCACACATTTATATAAAGTTCAGCAACAAACAACCATGTGGACATGCGGCATCATTCAGAACTTTAAATAAAAGAAAGCAGGGCTGTGCCAATCCTGTCATTTAGAAGCAATTTAGTTTAATGTACTAAAAGAAATCGCCGAGTCAGAGGTTAATTACTGCATCCCATCAATTAGGTGCTAAGCAGGGAGGCTCAGGAGTTGCCTCTGCTGTGGCTCACAGCTGTGAGTGCAGATCGCCCACAGGAACAACCCTGACTTCAGCTCAGGATCACAGAGGTGAGTTATCCGATATTCAAACGGCGAATCCCAAAACGGGTTTACAAGAAATTCAGGACTCCAATTTCAACCCAGAGAGCATTGGTTTGTGAAATCTGTGTAGCAGCTCTGAAATGAGGACAGCTGGTTATTGAAACTGATGGGAAGGCTGGCAATGCATGGGCAGGAGGGATGCAGCTCCTTCTGGGCTCAGAGCAGCACACCGGGCCGGAAAGCTGCTCCTGCATGGGCAGCTCTGTCTGCCTCACGCTGTGTGTCTGCCACAAGAGGAGCCTCAGGGAAACAGAGCTGTCGTAACAGAGCAGGTTCCATCCCTGCAATGTCATTCCCATCTCATCCTCTTTGTTCCAATGCTTTTGGAAACAGTGCAAGAGATGTTACCGTGCTCTGTGAATAGATTCCTTTTAATGGTCATTTTCATCTACTTCTTGGGGGGACTGGAAGGGTCTCACCCGAATTCCCAGCACATTTTGCTGCTGGTGTTTTGTTTTTTTTTTCCTCCAATTTGGACCTCATACATAACATTTCCTATTTATGTACAAGACATACGGTTTTCCAAAACGCAGGAACTGGAACTTGTTTTGCCTTTGATGGAAAGGCACAACTCTGTACCCAGGAGGTATCTGAAGGGAAGTACTGCAAACAAGCAACGTAACACGGAAACAAGAAAGTGCTTACAGCAAAGAGCATTGTTTACACCCATGATGTAAAACAGCACAATCCGTTGGGCATCCTCACAGCTACAGAAGTGCTCTGACCACAAACACACCAAACAACAACGTCGCTAATGCTACCGTCCAGCTCCGAAGTCCTTCAGCCCTCTGCTGAAAGAGGCCCCAAACCTCGGCGTCAGCTCAGCCCAGCCTTCCTTCCATCAAACGTTTGGAATTTCAGAAGCTCATTTCGCACTCCTCACGTCAGAGAACCGGACCATCTGCCACTGGGACGGGCCAGAACTGGGATTCAAGGTTACCAAAACCTCTTATTGCTGCGTAACTCTGCTGCCCGAGCCAGCCTGGCTGCCAGCCGGCCAGTCCTGGTCTGTGTACTGGAGATGAGCAGTAATTCCTGGCACGAGGGACCCAAGGAAACAAAGCATGGTTGCATTTCCTCTGCACACTGACTAGCATACAGCTGACACCTTCCCAACAACTCCACATTAGCAGCAGCATTAGAAAACTTCTTAATGGTATTATGTGCTTTACAGCAGGCTCTCTTTGGTATAAATATCCTATCACCAAGCTAGCAATATTTTACAGGAAATGTCTACTATTAACGTGGGGGAAGGTAACGCCATACTACTCTAATAAAAAGTGATTGCACGTATTTAATCACTTCTGCAATATGAGACTAAACATTCCAATGCATTCCCAGCACGACCCTATTCGAAATGCACCGACAGACAGCTAACAGGACATGTGCCACTTCCAGGAACAGCTGTAAGGGGACATCGCTTCGCTCCAACAAAAACGTTGCTTTTTATGACAGCATAAAACTGAGAACAATGCACCTATGTGACAGACTGCTGTTCTTGCTGTGGGAAGCGTAGTGAATTGCTTCAATTCGACGGGGGCTTGCTGGTCCCTCATAAGGCAAGCTCACTGTAAACTCTATTCACACTACATCATCATTTAAGGCACTACAATAAGGGGACACACCAAACAACTCTTCATCACACATACCTGTGCAAAACAAATCAGAAAGTATCCTTGTCTCTCGTGAAGCTCTACTCCTCTCTCAGTGCTACAGTGATGAGCTCTAACCATTGCATTATATCACATACATTCCGACACGAATCCATTCATTTTGGTTTAAATACAAAGGATACATCAAACTCCATCCCCAGGGACGTTTTAAGAATCAGACAAACACTAAGTACAGAGTTCAAGTATCATCACTACACATCTTGATTACAAAGACAGAACGTTTGGGGTTAGCAGGAAGTTTTGCTTGTTATATTTTTCTAATCAATATGTACATATTTCATTTTTCTGTAAAATATTAAAACACCACCAATACAAAACTTCTAAAATAGTTTTAAATTCAGTAATAAACTTTAAAATCTGGATTTTTTTTTTCTTCTTTTCTTTTTTTTCCTCTTTTTTTTTTTCTCTTCTTGTTTTTGCAATTCCTCCATGCACGTACTGCATACAAGTCTTCGTAAGAGCGCTTTAAGGAAGCTGTTGGCATATCCAGGAGGATATGGTCACAGGAGTATAAAAAGCTGTACACACCAATACAGTGATGTTTCGTTGTATTTCAAACTGTTTGACTCCCTCACAAACGAATCACGGAAAGAAAAATATGAAGGAAAAAAACAAAACCCAAAAAAACCAGAACCAAAAAGCCCTGCGCTTCTGTGGAGGCATCCAGCCCTGTTTTGGGGCCAGCACCGAACGCTGCAGAATGCAGATGTGAGAGCAGTGTGGCACAATTCATTCCCAACTGAACGTTACGGCATCCTCGTCCAGGTGCTGAGCTGTGTTACACAGCACGACCTCAAAATCTGTTTGAAAAGCCTCAAGGGATTCCCCAATGACTGCGACAATAATTCAGCTGTGTTACGGAAACAAAGGATTTGCAGGAAAACAAAAGAGATTCCAGGGCTCTTGTTGAGTTCTTGTTGGTTCCTGAATACACGACGTGGGACAAGGCAGCTGCCCCTCCCAGCATCTCCAACAAAGCAGAGATGTAAACAAAACCTCAGACAGAAACGCAGAGAGATGCAATGGCTCCTCAAAACCAGCAAGTTGTTAAAGTGAAATGGGGAACAAAAGTTAAAACACTCAGCTGGATGTTAGAACTGCCCTGGCAAGACCAAGAGATAAATGTGCATTACATTTTTAGTGGCAATATGGATCTGTGCAAGCTGCTGAAAAATTATCTGCTGATCTTCTTGCTTAAATTACACAAGTTAAAAAAATCATCAGGATCTGCTTCCGAGACGCTGATCTTCCCTCCTCTTTCCATTAGCACAACAGAACGATTTTAAATAAAAGTGACCATGAATTTTTAAAAGCATCCATAAAAAGTAAGGAAAATTTTAAAAACTTAATTAGTGACCCTTGCACTGGTAACAAAGCATGCTGCTCGGTTAGTGACTGAACTCACCAGAGACATTTCTGAACAACATACAACCAGAGAAGGGAGAAACAAAAACCAGGCAGTCATTACCAGGTAAAGATTCACCTGAAATCTTTCTCCAATCGCTCCAGCCTGCTGCAGGACAGGAATTGCTCTACCAAGAACTATAAGTATGAGTACTGGTTGATCTTTGTAGGGCTCAGCGGATATCCAGTGTAAATAGCAGATCCTCTGGAAGCACCAATATAGGACTGGGGAGCAAACTGGTGTTGGTACTGGGCAGGTGGAACATTTGCAGAAGTCAGCAGACTCGGACCAACACTCACAGGGACCTGGTGGACGAGTGTGCTGGGGTGGGCAGCGTACTGGGTGTGCCGTGAGGAGCCCTGAGGGGAGAAGAGATGGGCGATGGAGGTGGTGGAGCCCAGCGTTGCAGCAGTAGTTGGAGCATAAGTGTACATATGGGGCTGGCTGGACAGGTGTGCGTTCGCAGTCGCCGCCGCCAGGTGGGGATGCACTGGGCTGCTGTGTTGGAACGTGTAGGGAGCCTGAGAAATAGTTGATGTGAGGGGTGCCACATAAGCTTGCTGCCTACGTGGGACTGCATTTCCGCTTCTCTCCTGTGAGGCCAGCACTGTCGTTTGCTGGTTCTGCAGGGAGAAGAAGGAAAAAAAGTCAACAAGTAACCTCGGGGAGCAACGAGAGGTTCAGCCAGAGCCTCTCCACTAACACCAGGTCCCAGCAGGACAGATGATGGCCAGGAAAGGTCACACAGTGCTTACCTGGCTGAGATTGAGAGGCTGCACACCGTTTGTTACCACGCGGTGCGGTCGGTACCCAGTTGGTGTTATACAGCATCCTGATGACTGCCCGCTCACAGAGGCCACAGGCTTGGTCTTACTGGTGCTGCTCAGGATGCCTGAAAGATTTCATCAGTTTAATCCCTTCTTCCTTCTCATGCTGCATGCATGCACTATGCCAACTATGCGGAACACAGCTCCTAC